AAAATAACCTTTTGCAGGTGATTGTTGAATATGGTAGAGAGAGTTCTGTTTACTACTGGAATGAGAATATTCCATATTGTAGGGACTGAATAAAATCAACTTGGAATGCATTGCCCAAGTTCCATCCTCCTCCAGCTTCACGTTCATCTTGTCTATTTCATCATCCATGCTCATCCTGTCTACCCCACTTCAGGAGGGATTTCACTGCCCAGCAGAAAGCGCTGACATTAAACAGCCTTGAACAGCTCCTCTAGTGATCTCAGCTGAAGACAGCTGCCCCTTCTGAAAAGCCACACGACCTTCCCAGGAGTAGCTCATACCCAGCTCCTGGTCTGTGTGTAGCCTGAAGTTCCTCTTCCTGTAATGCAGAATGCTCTCTGCCAGGCTTCTCCATTCGCATGACCTTTTGCTGGTGGGCTCACGGAGAGACTTCATTGCATCCTTTCCCAGTCCTGTTTCCCATATTCTCTCTCAGATGTGGATGCTGGTAACTCTTAGCAATAACCATGCTAAGTGCAAATCTCCATCTCCAAGCGTGCCCTGTAGAGAACTGTGCCCATCCCAAACAATACCAGGCTCTGGTTTGTGCAGCATCGTTCTGGAAGCAGCAATGTGAAAGACTGTCATTCACCAAAGACATAGTGGATAGCTCCTACGGGGCAAGCCGCTATCATAGGCATGGAGAAGGAAGAGAGAAAAGCAGAGGGCGTGTCCACCACTGACTGTATTGCTGCATCACTGACTGAAGGAGAAATGGGAATCTGCATACAGGGTAAATTGTGAATAGGGAAGTGTTTAAATGTTAAGGTAGGGCCAAGTGACAGGCCAAGGCTAGCTCGGTGAAAGACAGCATGTGAGATGAAATACCAGGTGTCCAGCCTGGGCACCTAGGATCTTTCTGAAAAGAGACAATACTGCTCAGGTATCCTTTGATTACCAATAATTATGATGATGATGATAATTTTTAAAATCCCAAATACTCTTCAAAATATTTTTGTTCGAAGCCAAGAGAGCTTTGAAACATTTTTCTTCTGGGGCCTGTGGAAAAGGGCCTCCTCCCCTTTTCATTGTGAATGTGGCCAGCCAAAGGCTAAAGAGGCTGAGCTCAGCCTCTTCTCTGCCCTACATATCTATGGGCATGGATTTGCCTTTTTTCCTTCTGAGGATCTATCACTATTCGCATAAGATATATGAAGTCTTATAAAATTTCTTCTTACAGGTGTTCAATAGTTGCTTGTTGAATGAATAATGGAGAAAGATGTAGATGTGATTAAGGACACATTTTGGCTATCATATGAAAGATAAGAAAGCAAGGGGAGCAGGGGCTGTCTCTGACATGGACTCTGTTGCTGGCTTTTCAATCATTTCCCCCTGGCAGGACTGCCTTACCAGGCCTCAGTGGAAGGGGATGTGCTCAGCCCTGATGTGACTTAATGTGCTGGGATGAGTTGGTGGGGTGGCACTCTCCTTTTCTGAGGAGAAGGGGAGGGGGAATGGGAGAAAGAGAAAAAGGGAGGGAGGGTAGGACCATGAGGAGACAAGGGAGGGGGCTATGATTGGGACGTAAGGCGAATAAAATAAATATAATAATAATAATAATAATAATAATAATAATAATAATAATAATAAAAGTAACATGCCCCAAATTACAGTCTGGAAGTGTAAGCACTGATGTGTGAATGTACCATCTTCACAAAGCTACCTCAGCTGTGACCTGAGGGCTAAAACCTGCACCACAGTAAATTTCTGAAGGATGTAATCATTAACTTTTTAAGAGAAGATTCCTAGAGATCCTTGGTTGAAATATAAATTAATAAATTTATGGAGGAGATTAACAGGCTAGAACAAATTCGGATGTCCATAATGAGGTACCCTACGCTGATGGATCTTCCAGCTCTCAACATACTATACCACAGAATAATGACACTTTAAAAATCTGGTGCCAAAATTGGACAAAAATTAGAAAATATGCAGTTTAAAAAACACTATTACATCCCAGGACACAGGCTATCTGCCCAACACTGGTAGAGGCACTTGAATTAGAATTATAGAAGAAACAGAAGTTTACAATTCAAAGTGCTTGTTTAGCTTGGAGCATATGTTTGCAAACATTTGTGGCATGTTGTGTAAATGAAACTCACTTCTCCTGCATTATGTATGTGTGTGTGTTTGGTAACTGTGGCTATCATAAGAAGAAGCATCTTTTTTGTACTCAGATTTACAGCTAACTAAAACGAGAGGAACTAAATGCAACTGAAAACTCAGTGCAGTGTATGTATGTATATATATAACCAGCCTGGCTGTCATTTAAAAGATCAGATGCCATTTTTCCATTAGTGAGAAAGCAAATTAAAAAAAAAAAGTTTTGGTGAGGATTAAGGAGAAAGAATACTCTCGTAAATGGGCCCAAGGAGTATAACTTGGCATCAACTTTCGAGGAGGCCACCTGGATGTATGAGGGGGCACAGGTTTTCAGCCTGTGGCCCCCAAGCCACTAAGACTGTATGTCAGGATTTGTATTCAAGAACAGTCCCCTCATTCTGCTGACAGCATCAAAGTACAAACAGCTGAAGCACGTGCTATCTGATCTGTCAGGTATTGCTTTCAACAATCCAAGGAAAACAATATAGTAAAAATTTAAAAAGGAGACTAAAATTTACATTTTGGCAGGTGCCATATCAAAGACACCTTTCTCCATATCTGGGACTATGGGTGACTTCTGGAATTTTCCAATTTACTTTTTTTTCTACATTGTTCTTTCAAGTTCTGGTATAATATATATTCAAGATATGCTTAGAGTGTCCAGATTTCGATGCACAACTGTTAATACTCGTATACACTGTGAAGTCACTGACTATACTCTTCTAGGTCTCTTCATTCTCCTCTCTTGTCAACAATCCCAGCCCCAAGTACCCACTTTTTGACCAGTGATTAGTTTTGTCTGGTTTTGATCAGTGTGATTCTACACTATAGTTTTCATTGTGTCTGGCTTTATACAACACAGTATCTGTAAGATTCAGCGTTTTGCATGGATTTCTCAGTCATTATTTGACTTTTTCATTGTAATTGTTTGTAGTGTTCCAGTGTATGAATGCATTACTCTGTATTTATCCATTTTACTGTTCATAGAAATCATGCTCATGGTCTTTGGTTGACAAATGTCCCCTATTCAGGACTAGGAAACAATTGCTAGGGTAGAAGACATTTATATATATGATATATGATGTAATGGTTTTTATTTTCCCTCCTTCATCCAGCTACCTCAGTCAGAAGGATAATTACTACTTCAACAATTCTAAATTAATTTATAGTATGTGGGTGTTGATTTTTGCCTCTTAATTTATTTAGACTAAAAAATCTATTAAGGAAAAAAGACACGAGTCTCCTCTTTTAAATACTTTTATTAGGCATTGCTAGCTGACGCCGTGTGATATTCTGCACAAATCGTGTAGTAAATAGCAATCCACGGTAATCTACACTGCACACACAGTGACAGCTGGAACCATTTGACTTCCATTAGATTCACCCAGGTAAAGTGAGTGTCTTTATATTTTTCCACGAGATCGGATATCAGAATTAAACTTAACCTCCAATTTAAAGCAATCAACTCAAAATAATGACCATTCTTTCAAAGGCTGCAATAAAAGGATATAGGGACATTACTGAGAGCTTGCAACTAGACTCCACATCCATCTCCTCAAAGACGTGTACCTACAGTTTGAGTAAGCTGGTAGTTGCTTTTATCAGTCACAACTGAGATAGTACTTATTCAGAAGGAACGTGCTATGTACCCTCTAGTGCATATAATATATATATCACCCAAATTTCTTGAGGCAATGGATTTTTAAATTATGAAATTTAAAATTTCAAACCAAACCAAACAAACCTGTTAATTTCCAGGTCCTTCCAGCAGGTCGTATTTGTTGCCAGGAAGATTCCCTCTATTTTCTTTGTCAAATATTTATACATTTCCACATGTAGGCCATGTCTTTGTTTTTTCTTCACACCTTGTTTAATTTGAGCACTTAATCATCATATATATTTATTTTAATTTTTCATATATATATATATATATATATATATATATATATATATATATGAAACAACAAAACCAGTATCTTGTATAACACAAGATAAAAGGCACAAGCCTAGAAGGGCGGATAATATACAGAATGGCGTGTGGTTGCTACAGCCTACTGTGAATGAATAATGTGTAAACTGTGACAACCTTCAATTTTTTTTACATCAATAAGAAACTTAATGATAAAATGTTGTCAAAGTCAAGTTGTAGATAAATGATCACATTAAAAAGTATCACAGTTATGCTTATTTTTAATGTTGTTTTTAATGTTTTATGGGTCTACCCTAATTAGAGCTGCAGACCAGCTCACTGGTTCCAATTTATTCAGCGTTCTTTTTCTTGTGGCTTAAAAATAAAAATTAATTCCAATAACTTTGATTTCTGTTAGTTCATATTCATTTTCTTGCCTTAGCTTGAAAATAAGTGACACACTTAAGAAAAATACAGCTAATTTGTTAGTCTAGAGACAATATAGGAGATTCAGTAGCAAATGCAGGCGAGGTACATCTATAAAGACACCTGACTAGCATGCTTTAAAGTAGAGGGATCAAAGAGTGCTAATGGAAAATTTATGGCTCTTTTGATAAGAAATGAAGTCACATGAAAGAAATAAGGCACTAATAACACACAAATGTTACATCATCACATAAGCACCATATGGGAGGTTTAGGTGGCACAGTAGGTTTAGTGCTACTGGATAGTGGAAACAAGGCTGATCTCCCTGGCTTTCTTCACTAATTCTTTCTTTCTTTTCAGTGATGAGTGTACCAATGCAGCAGTGGTGAGAGCGGACACTATGGACCATTCATGGAAGCAAGAGTATAAAGCCTTCATCTGAAAGTTGATCCCTTCAACAATATAAGAAATCAGATCTTTTTGTTTTTCAACTTTTGTTTTCAACTTTTTAATTTTGGTACAATGTTTGTTTGTTTTTCTTTCCAATTGCTTTTCAGGGATTAAGATATCAGTGGCATCTGTTTTGTTATTTCCACCTGCCTATTTCCTAAAAATACATCCAAAGTGGCTTCTTCCACGTACTTTTATGAAGATCAAAGTTAGCAACTACTGAAATGCAGAAACAGTTAAAACATTTAAAAGTCAAGGAATATTTTCAACAAGAAAAACATTATGACATATTACCTGGGAATGGGCCACAAAGTTTACAGAAAATTTTTAAATGTTCAATAAAAGGGAAGTGACAAGACCTGGTACACATTAAAATGGAAGCAATTCACTTTAAGATAAAGCAAACATTACCCCCTGTTATTATTATTGAGACCTTACTTAAAATGGAATACAGTCTCACATTTACATAGAAGATGGTAATTATTCCTTAGAACATCAATTTCTGAATATGCAGAAAAATGACGACATAGATAATGTAACTGTCTTTAAGGTTTGCAAGATAAGTAAAGAAAATGTCTTACCAATTTTGCTTCTTAATAAGTGATGAGTTAATGTAATAATATTTGCATGCTGCTGTTTGTTTGATTTTATTTGTTTGTTTTTGAGATAGGATCTCGCCATGTAGCTCTGGCTATACTAGAACTCACGATGTAGACCAGGCTGGCCTGGAACTCACAGAGATCTGCCTGCTTTCCCAAAAGTGCTGGGATTAAAGATGTGTGCCTGCTGCTGTTTGATTAGATTTTTTTAAAAGCAGTCAGAAGTACTATTTATTAGCACATGAATAATTGTTTTCACAAGCAATGAGATAGTCAATCTTTTTCCCCTCCTCCTCCACATGCCCACAAGGGGTTAAAAGGGCCTTTATTAGAAAGCAGCATATGTGTGTCTGCAGAGGGCTGCTGTCCCATAGAACAGAGTTTAAATTAAACTCCTTAACTGTACTGTGTCATGGGAAGCGAGGACGGGAGTAGGGTACAAGGGTAATTGGTCACTGCAGGCACATGCAGTAGGCTGCCTGGTGCCTGACGGGCACATGAAATATGCCTTCTGCCTTTCACCAGAGAGCCAATTTTTAAAGGGCAGGAGAGAAGGAAACAAACAAAAAAACATAAAATAAAACCAATACAAGCCTTGCCCGTTCATATACATCAGTGTGGACTGAGGAGGAGATGGAAGCAAACGCAGCTAACCCCAGACCTAAGGGTTCTGACTGGGCCACACGCCAAGTGCCCTGCCTGGGTGCCTTTTAATTTTCATAAAAATTTGGAAGAAATTGTTTCTGCTTTGGCAAATGGTGTCTAAATACACATTTATATATATTCAATTACTATTCTGAATTTCATACCAAAATAAGGTTTTCACAAGGCTTCTTAAATTTTTCAAAACACCATCTACAGAAATTTAATTGTAATGAAAATGATCAAGATATTAGCTATTGAGGAGTTATCATATGCAACTTTAAAAGTGGGCATTAGGGAAAAAAATTCTATTCAGCTGATAAAAAGTAATGATGCCATGTCTAGAATTTTTTTGTAAAGAAACATATAGCATGCTAATTTTCTATAGACTAAAAATTAGATATACACATCATATATTTAAATACTAGCTGTCTGAAACAATGTATTTAGATATGGAGGAAGCAATGCTAATTTAAAAACCTGGTAACTTTCAAGAATTTAACAAGACGATTTTCCTAGCTGGCCATGAGATGGAACCTTGACATTAAAAGGGACTAACAAGTCCGGCACAGCCTGCCCCCTATGAGGAAAACCTGAAATGGCATCATTTCTGCAATCCTGGGGCCATTTAACATCCAAGTGTGACTCTCTGAACTTTTTTCTTACATAGTAAAACTACATTTAATACATTTTGAGTGTGGCTTATGTGTCAAACCGATTAATTAAAAATAAAATGGCAAGCAACACCAACAGCTCAGGCTCCAAGATCAACAATTAATAAATGGGACATCCTGAAACTGAAAAGCTTCCGTAAAGAAAGGACACTGTCAACAGAACAAAATGACTACAGCCTACAGACTGAGGAAAGCAGTCTCTCTGTAACAGGGCCAACCCTGGTTATAGTCTAGGTGATCTGCTTTAGATTATCAAAGTGCCTAATAAAAACCACAGAACATGAGTTGATAGCTGCCTCTAATATACAATTGCTGCTTGATTTAAATCTACCCCAAGTTCAAGCTACAGGATGTTTATACTTAAAGACCAATAATTGCAACTGTGAATTCCTTTAGGTGAAGGATAAAAAGCTTTGGGTCAGATCATATGAATGTGTGTGTGCTTTTGGTCCAGCCGATATGCAGGCACTGCATTGAGCTTCTGACAATCACAGATTTCTCAAGTTTGGCTCTAGAGTATTATCAAACCTCTGGTCCAATTCACAGAGGGCTAGGACCTCAGCAACTACCAAGAATCAGGAAAACTGTCCCAGGCACTGTGGATCCAGCTCAGTTAACAATAACAAGGATAAATGACACATACTAGTAGAGTTAGGTCACCAGGCCTTTCAGCACAGAATTTCACTGCATTACAGTTGAAAGGAGCGAGTGCTTAAGACAATTTATTCCTCACTTGGCCGAGATGAGAAGGGCGGGGGGGGGCACTGCAGAAGTAAAAAGCAAGATAATTTGGAAAACTAAGAAAAGAAATAGGTATGCAATGTTGAGATGCATGGGTATTGCTACACACACACACACACACACACATACACACACACACACGGAAGAAGACAGTGGTAGCATATGACCCAGAACTGAAAAACAACAACAAAAATTTTCTCTATTAATGAGTCCACATAACCTAAAATAAACCACTGAATGCCTTTTGGAGAAATAAAGAAATGACCCTCAAAAGGACACCAGTAATAAATACTTCAAGTATTTTTCAAAAAGATAATTTTTGCATTTAAGTCATTATTCTCAAAACAGTCACTTCTTTAGTCCAAAGGAAAAAAAATATAATTTCTAATATACACGATTACATGCTCACACAATTGACAATATGTAGAAGGGCATATACGGTATGTAAGGTATGTGACATATTAAGGCTTTAGCCAAAAAGCAGTTAGACAATGACAATAGTCTTATTCTACTGTGACTGTACTTTTTGGGTCTGGATAACACCATCTAAATCTGAAGACTTATAAAGTGATGCATAGAAATCCCACGGGGCACACGGCTTTGGAATCAGTCTCAGCTGTACACTCAAAGGAAGAAATACAGTGGAGTCCCATCCATTGATTTGCCTCCAAAAAGTAACATTTCACAACCTTAAGTACTCTTTCAAGCCTGGAAGTGTTTTTTGTTTGTTTAGATAACATGGTTTCTGTACAAGTTTTCGTGATATGGTCATTGCAGAGATACATTTCAATATGTGATTTTGGAAGTTAGTGTCCACAATTGTAGGAAAAGTGTATAATTAAGTTATGATTTGAAAGCAAAATGTGCTCCAACTATTTTTATTTATTGTGTTTCTAGTCAAGAAAATTTCTTGTATAGAATTCATGAACTATGAAAATACAGTTAAATACAATTAAAACATTCAGTAGGAATTAGTATTTTAAACAGAGATTCGAGTGAAATTATCATGTAGCATCATTATTTGCTATGAGTTCTAAATGTTGCAAAATCATTGCAAAAAAATCCCCAGCTTTTCTAACATTTTAGAAACAGTTCTATATTTGAGTGCTTTATACTCAACTTATATTAAAAATGTTTTACATAAAGGACTCAGCTTCTGATTCCTCACTAATTTGAAGAATTTAAACATATTTACTGATATGATTCTATTCTTGTCGCTAAAAAACACACCTGTCACTTTTGCTTTAGCACTTAACTATTTAAATGGCACACACACTAGAAAGTGCATCAGTGTTAAGGCTAACAATTATAGCAGACATTAACACAGAACAATAGCGCAGACAGACTCCAACCACTGACACGAAAGAACTCATATCAAGGACTGTGTTCAGATTGCTTATAAAACTAACCTGTAATGTGGCTTGTGGCATAGATTTTCTTAGTTTTGTACTTATATGCCACCTAGTATTACTTAGGCCACTAACTTTGTTATATTCATAATGACAGGCATCATAAAAAAAATCTGATGTTAAAACAGTTTCATTGTTTGGTAGGGGAGATGTGTTGGCAGATGCACTAAAATCTGAGAAAGGCCAGAGACGCTGAGGCTACACAGACCAGGGTAGGCCTCTCTCCCACCTGCCTCCCCTCTTCTCTGAGGGTGACAGAGGTGTGGACAAAAACGTGGTTGCAACTAACATAGGGACAGACAGAATAACTGCAAAGGTCTTTGTAGAGTATGGGACACAGAGGTGTTATGGGAACACAGAGGCATGTGTCTGGGCAGTGAAATTAAAAGATACAGTCCTAAGTAGGGTCCTGGTACTTGAGATGGTACCACAGGGTTGGGCATTTCCCGAGAGGTCGTACAGAATCTTGATCCCACAGCACAGAGAGACAGATGCTATGCTGTAAATTGTCTCTTGTTTAACTCATCTCTGTTTTCCCACCTGTTCTTGTACTATTAAGTGGCTGCGGGCTGGACCATAAAGGTGGGAAGAGGATGTAGCTAGTGTTATGGCATTTGACCTCCTTTTCCTCCTACTTCTCATAAATGGCATTAATGAGGGTTTTAGACAGCGAGACAGATACCATTCATTCCTTCAGTACTAAAGTGAAAAAGAAGAAATCCAAGAACTGATTAATCTTTTTCACACTGTGAAAAAGACAACTCATCACATTTTTGCTTCACTGGGAACAGACTAATATTCTCTTTTAAATTTCAGCAAGATATTTGGCTAATCTTTCAAAGAGGAAGTCTTGAAAGATGCTCTGCTTTAAAATTAGGCAGTCTCTACACTGCTCCCAAATAGGGTCTTGAATACATTATTCCTACGGTCACATCTTTTGGCTATGTCTTAAAAATATTTATTACAAATATTTTTGTAAAAATAAATTTCAAAATCCCATGGAAATGGTTGTATTGGTGACAAAAATATGAATGCATAAGATGTTTTGTGTGTGATCAGTGAAAACTATCTTGTTACCCATTCAACAGATGACCAAATCAGTTAAAACACAGCTCCCCAGTGGATTAGAGTGTAACTTTCAAATGGGTATAAACACTTGTGGAAAGGTATTCTTCTAATCCTTAAAAACGTGAAAAAGAGCCCCAGCAAAGGATGTCATTCTATTAGCAGAAAACTGACATGCAAGGGTGCATGCGTGCACACACACGGACACACACTTATTTGTACATTTGAAGGAAGCATCTCAGACCACTGAGAGTCACCCTAGGAAAACAAGGGGCAGATACGCAGAGGACCTTGTATGTTATAGCCCTACATGGTCTGAGTTTCTACAGTGTTGACAGATAAAGACGAGACCTGGATAAAAAGACAGTTCACATGTATACTTCATTTTGTAAAGGAGTTTTCAGAATTTATTCTAAATGTTACCACTGTTCTACCTTCAAAGTTGGCACTTACAGAGAAACTTTTTGCTATTTTTTCTTTAACTCTTTTAAAGATTTCTGAGACTTACTAAAATATTCACAAATAATTACTTTTAAGTTACTACCACGGAAAGGACACACATATCTGCGTATGTGGTTGTGTGTTCCTTAGGAAGGGAAAAACGCACACATTTATTTTACAAATCTATGCACTTACAAATGAGATGCCCGTGCAAGCACAGTGTGTACTCTCCCAACCTCTGATGAAACAGCCTTTCCTGATAACAAATACCAATTTGTAAATCACATATTGGAATTTTTTTTTCAAATCATATATAAAAATATCTGTAAAAGATAAGCTATCTAAAGAATAGAATAAAAATCCCTGAGTAGGCCAAAGCCAGCAGGCACAAAAACCCAAGAATATAGACACTCTCAGACCCACAAGTCTCTGTTCACCTAGGAATGTGTATGAACATGACATGTTTACTAATGACATACAGACAGATTCATGGGGCATACTCAGATCCATCCCACCCACAGCTGGCCAAACTGGACTCGATGGCCGAGTCCAGGAAAAACAAGTTTCTAAAAATTAAGCACTTTTAACAACAGAGACATGTATTTGGGCTAGAAGTTCTGTCTTTTGGTCTAAGACTAGCACATCTAAGGCAGACAGTAAACACTTGGCAGATGTACGGCTGAAGGCACGGGAAGATAAGTCTGTGACGCCAGAGACCACTGCGCCTTACCTCACACCACAGTCCAGAAACAGGTACTCCACCAGTGCCGTGAACTCCTCCCGCCAGACTCTCACCACTGAGCAGGAAGCTGTCCAGCTCCTCTCTATTGCTCTCAAGACTACGAGCATGCTAGCTTAGACATGGACCGTCCTCACGGGCATGAACTTTTGCAGCGAAACACAAGGGTACAAAGTTCTTACACTCTGGCATCCGACACCATGAAACAGCCATATAAGCGTGAGTGTTATCATACAGTCTACTTCAAGTCAAACAAACATTTACTACAAGTAGCTGACTTTGAGAATGTAAAAATGAGCTGAAGCCTTAGGCTTCATGACATCTCTTCTTTGTCTCGATAAAATTTATGATAGAAGCAAGGAAATGGGGCTGTTTACTTAAATTCCATTATCTTATTCGCAAAGACTTCTCATCTCAGAAGAACTTCTCCAAAATATTTTCTACATTTGTTTTCTTCTCCAAAACAGTTTATGTTTTCATGAAACTATGTACATAAAAAGCTGTTTTCAAGTTATCTGTCTCTAAGGAGATACCAGCAAAGTATGCATCTGAGTAGTAAACATAGCCAAAAATCCTTCAAAACTATTATTTATTTTTGTAAAAAACTTGAGGACAAATTAAAAAAATAAAGAGGGAAGAAGTAGAGTATTAAATAATTTTTTAAAACTTAACCTACAGCAGAATTAATTAGGATTCTAAAATGGTAATTAAATAATGAGCAGAATGGAAATTAAATTAAAAGTTTAAACAGTTTTCTTCAAAGCAAAAAAAAAAAAAAAAAAAAAAAGAAATAATCCCAGGAAGGCTTTATTGGCAGGATAAAGTATTTATGTCAAAATTCAAGGGATCTGAAAAGATCATGTTGGAAACTTGAGACTTTCTAAAACCATCCTTTCAGTTTACAAAGTTTGGTACATCTCGGAGTGACACTGCATACATCTCATGCGGGGGTGTGTGGGTGTATGTGTGTGTCCACAGAAAAAGCAAGAAATGGACAGGGATACCATGGACACAACCTGTTGTTGATATTGGCTTTAATTCAGTACATTACCAAGTTAGGCCCACAAAAATAACCATCATGGCTGAATGGTTCTATGAAAATAGACATGGAACTAGACAAGCACACGGCTGTGGAGCCTGATTTAACACGTGTTTATATACACACATACACATCCTTACACATACGCACCAGTAACTCCTGGTTCTTCTCATTAATTTAGTTTCATTAATTCCCTTCTGGGTGCTGAGATTTTTTTTTAAAGCAAGTACAGTGTCCAAAGAGCAAAAGAATGATACCATTTGGGCTACAGACAACAACAGGTGCATTTGGTGAACTCTGATTTATCTTCTGAAAAATGGCTTTGTCTACTGAGACAGACAGGACCTCAGCTTTGCATACCACACCTCACATTCAGCCTGGAGAGAAGCACAGAGTTTAGACAATCCAAATAACACTCCTGTGAGGTGTCCTCAAAACACAGCTGAGGATACCCTGTTCTCGAAGTATTTTCTTCCACGAACCACGAAGGTAAGAGTTAAGATATAAACGTCTCTAATTAACGAAAGTGACCATTTTTTAAAAGCAGCAATTTGTTTAAGGAAAGGACAGGACACCATGTTGGGAGTGCACCGTAGCTAGAGAGGCACTGTGGCCTGCAGAGAACCACAGGAGACAAGATGGCGGAAGTTTCTCTAGGTGTTAAGGGTCCGACACATAGACGGTGGAGCATCCTGCACGGCTCCTCCTGGTACCGGCTGACATCATGTGAAATCCTCTGTGGATTACCAGTGCATACCTGTCCGTGATCGCTTTCTCTGTTTTTTACAAAGGCAATATATAGGAAATACAAATAAACCTAGGGATGAAAAAAAAAAGGCAATTAGGGAGGAAAGCACTGAGGTATAATGTATAATAATGAGGTGCATGTATAATACACACACACACACATATATATAATGTATGTGTGTATATGTATATATGTATGTATATATATATATATTTGAAATTTCCCAATTTTACTCATATGCAATCTACTTACAATAGTCATTATTAATAATTCACAAACACTATGGGATATGTTTTTTTTTTTCACAAGACTTCATTCTTCCCCATAACACGTTGTCCCTGTAATATGCTGTCTGTCCCCTTTATCACCCTCAGTCATACAAGTTCTAATAAAACACAATGTTTTCTAGCAAACCATTTAGCTTAATGCCAATATCTTTATTTTCACAGTCCTATAATTTGTACACTGCGATATTCATTTCATTGTTGGTCAGTATAACATCTTAAGAACATATATGTGGTTCCCAGTTGTAACAATTTTGAGATCTTAGTAAGACTAGATTCTCTCTACTTGAGAGTACAGATAATAACATCTGTTTTATAAAGTCCCGACTGACTATAATGACTTGAATGTGAGATACTTTGCAATTCTATCTGTCCCATACATTCACCGATAAAAGAGAAGTTTACACGTAGAAAATCATTTAATTCAGCAAAAGCATCCCATTATTTCAGGGAATAATGACCAATATAGCTTTATCGAGAATGTTTAAGTTGAAATTTCTGAAGCAATGGTTCTTAACGTGTGGCCCATAGGCTAACAGCATTGGCAGCATCTGGGACTTTTTTGAGACATAAACCCATAGGCTCAGCCACAACACTGGGCTAGAAACGGATGGTAGGGTCTTGCAATGTGTGTTTTCAACAGCTCTCCTGGCTAGGCTAAGTCAGAGAACTACCCCTTTAATATATCTGTTCATATGTTTAATGTACCTGTCTATATGTAGGAAGCATGTTCCTCTGCCGTATACACCCTGTGCTGCACAGGGTGTTTGAAGTGAGGCACAGAGCAGAAGCCACACCCACCAACTGACTCGCACCATTACATACGCCATTACGCCATTACACATACACTAATACTGTCCTACTGCCATAGGAGAATTCTAATCTCAGACATGTCACGTTTCTTACCGATTACAACGGCTATGGCCCCTAGTGCCAATCCCAAAACCAGGATGAGAGGCGCAATGAAGAGCTTTCCGGCTGAAAAACAAAGGCAAAGAATTTAAAGGCTCTCAGGGCTGAGTTACCGAGGAATCACCATAATCCAACAACAATTACAATGAAGGGCGTAAGAAGAACTGATACATACATGTAATCCATCACCAGAGTTTAAGTATGCAGTGCTTAAGCTCTGGAAATATGCCAAACACCCACAAGTCATTTATTCTTTATAACAAAAAGATGATAATTCTTTATACTGGCCTGCTTTGTTCTTTGTGCTTTCCCTTTAGATTTCTTCTACTTTCAATGTTCAAATGTTGGAAGATTAAGAATGCAGTAATGTACTTTAGCATGCAGTGGACAATCTACTGAGCTCACGGAGTTGGAGAACTGGTAGCGACCACAGGGAGTATCTGACCCGGCCCATGTCTAAGAAAAACACTTTATTCACTTGCTGGGTAAAGAAGGAAATCATATGAACATCTAATGGACTGAACTCCAAATGAGATCCTCAAGACAACTGGTGGAGAAAGTTGCCACTGAATAAATGATGTACTGGAAGTTATTCAAGTGACTCATTGAAACAAATTTCAAGAGGAAGTGCTATAAGAAGGCTCAGTGCTGGCAGGGATGTCACAGTTGGCAGCCCCAGTGGCTTCTCTTCTGAAGGAACACTTGATGTGTGATAATAATCACTATTGTCACATGTAACTGCAGCCCAGAAGCCACCCTCGGAATCCCCAGGACTTTGGAAGGCACTGACATAGACAAAAAAAAAAAGCAGTACAGACACTCACGTTCTTGTTACTGTGCTACAACTTTTGGACATTTGGCATAATTCTGCAAACTGAATGCCACAGAGTGTGAAAGAAACAAAAGCTACAGTAGTCACGCGGCTAGTTAAGAATCACGGAGCAATACCATTCTTAACTTATGAGCAGTGACCAAGGATAGTAACTGCACAAGAGAAGATAAACAACTCAGCCATTTGTTGGGAGTTTCGCAGAAAAAAACAAACAACAACAACAACAACAACAACAACAAAACCTTTTTAACTCATACAAAACAATTTTTGTAATTAATGACTAGGTATGGAAAAACAGTTTTAAATATAAAATTTAACAACATAGTTTAATATTTATTAAATTTAGACATGAATCTTTGTCATTTTGACATACTGTCTAGTTATGAGTTTTCTTTTGCTTTACACCAATGACAAAACTCAGCTGAGCAATCCTAAATCTCACTGAACAGCTGCTTGTGCACCCGTAGAGCTGGGGTGAAGAGTCTAGAACGCAGGATCGAGGTTTACATACTTTAAGAGTCTGCTTTGCTTTCCGCAGCCGCTGCACATGGCTCGGTTTCTTTAGTTATATTTCCTCTAACCCGGCAAGACATTTTCGTCAGAGCAACAGAACACAACTGTTATTAACAGCACTGACTTTCCCAAACATCACTGAATTCAAGGAGGAATAAACTTGACGGTGTAGGACTACTTCTTAAAATTGCTTTCACTGGAGTCAGTATGCTTTTTCTTATTCCAATGTCAATAGCAATTCTCTTAAAACATCATTTTCAATAGTTAAATGTTTTTTCACATCTAGAAATTTTATCTTGTTTAAATATTTCTAAATTAAATTTTCATCTAATTTTGTGCTATTACAATAAAACACTGATTGTCTGTCTAGGTTTATTGTTTTGTTGGTTTATTCTTTTAAGATAGGGTCTTTAGGTTCAATCCACATGCCTTGACCACCTGAGTGCAGGCTTCACTATGCTCGGGTTGATTTACAGTTTTAAAATGTCCACATGACCATATTAATTTCCTCTTTCACTCCCTACCCTCTCTTTTAAAACATTTGATGGTACAGCCCAGGCAGCTCTTGAACTCAGGATCCTCCTGCTTCGGCTTCCAACGCATGCTGGACTTCTCTGTATGCGCTATCACACCATGATAGTTTCACATTTTTGAAAATAATTGTTGAAAAATTTCAATGCATTCTGTAGACCACAAAAGTTCAACACTGAATGACAACTGTATACTAATCAGTAGTTCAAATTTTATAATTTAAAATTTTCTGACAGTGAATATTTTTAATGTGAACTCTTTAATTCTGCTTTCAGCTTCTTTTTACTTTTTTTTTTTTTTTTTGGAAACAGGGTCTTGCTACATAGCTCGAGCTGGCCTCTAATTCACTACATAGCCCAATGGCCTCCAAACTCTTGGTCATCTTGCCTCCAACTCCACTGAGCTGGGATTACGGTGGGTATCAGCATGCCTGCTCTCTATCTCTCTATCTCTCTATCTATCTCTCATCTATCTGTTTTTGATATGCACGGGTGTTTTGCTTGCATGGATGTCTGTGCACCATGTATGAGCAACGCCCATGGAGATCAGCAGAGGGCATGGGATCCTCTAGAACTGGAGTCACAGACACTCAGGTATGTGGCTGCTGTGAACCCAGAGCCTCTGCATGAGCTTTTAAATGCTGAGCCATCTCTCTAGACCCTCTGTTTCTTTTATTTAAACTGACTATGTTTCAAATGAATTTTGAAGGAGACTCCATTGCTCTTGTTCATACAAATTGTTTGCTATGATTTAAAGCATTAAATTTTAGAGGCCCACAGGAAAGTTGAGGTGGTAAAGACACCTACTGCCATGCCTATCACGCTGAATTTGAAACCCACAATCCTCCCGAAGAGAGAACTGCCTTCCACAAGCTCTGATGCCCACACACATGCTGTGGCAAATACACATGAATGGCAGCAAACGCATGTCCAGAGTAAATATAGACATGTCATTAAACATTTTGGAAACCAGTTCAAAGTACCACTCCTCGAAAAATGTGCTTGTTTCCTAGATGGTGCTCATCATCCTGGTCCTGGGACTGCAGCTACCTGTGGATGCAGGGAACTGAGACAGAGTTCTCCACCCTCCACCATGATGGGCACGCAGGCTGTTGTTCTCTGTCTCTGGCCAAGGGTACTTCAAGGCACTAAGAGGCATGGTGGTAGATGTGAGGGCTGAGATACAATCCAGATCACCTCTCAAATGGCAGGATGTGGTGTGGTGTCTAGGTTTTGTCAAGCTGACAACTGAGCTAACCATCATAACCAATTAGATAGCTGTGCTTGGAGGCTGGAAAACATGTGGGAGGGAAACTAAGCCAGCTGCTCCTTATAATGTCAGGTTTATCTTGGCTTAATGGTATGTACAGGTGTGCTGTACACACACACATCTGAATACAAGATAGGCACATGTGTTCACACACACACACACACACACACACACACATACACACACAGAGTAAGACAGAGATACAACCAAAGTCCTGTTAGACAAATTAGGCAGAGAATAACTTTTGTCAGTAAGGAGGCCTAGACAGAAAAAAAGTAATAGAAAAGAAAAGAAAGAAAGAAAAGAAAAGAAAAGAAGAGAAAAGAAAAGAAGAGAAGAGAAGAGAAGAGAAAAGAAAAGAAAAGAAAAGAAAAGAAAAGAAAAGAAAAGAAAAG